GAACAAGAAAAAATGGGTAATTGTACCATGTATTTAGTGTCTTCTTTAAGCAACGTGGGTAGCATACGGAAACACTCTGCTTATAGGGAAGACGCATACGTCTTCCAGGCAGATGTTTTGCTAACGCTAACACCTACTTACTTCAATTATTCCTTTCCTTTACGGTGGTGCCCTCTTAAGGGCACTCCCAGTTAGTAATAGCACTCCCAGTTAGTAGGTAACGAGCGTAATTCTCGCATTTTCACCCGCAATACGCTATGAAAATCGCGCCATTGCTCATGAAAGGTTCGTTGCATTACTTCACGCTGCGGCCGGCTACTACGTGACAGGAGAAGCCAGGGGAGGTTTGGCTAACTGAAAGTCTCAGTTTACGATACTCTGTCCATGTGCAACAGACACGATTTTTTTCTAAATAAGAAGTAATCAGGTTACAAACAATCCGGTTATACAATCGTAGTATTTTTATTTTTATTTTTTTGGTATTAGTACGTCATTAGTATAATTCAGTTTTTAGAACTTAAAGTAAACATACAAACTACATCCATTGCAAATTTGTAAAGTTATTCTATCTGTAGTAATACGTATCATATTAACTACTTGCCAAATTGTTATAATTTGTAATTGAAACATCGTGTTATCAAAAAACCTTCACAAAAAATTATGACCGAAACAGAAAATTACCTTTCGTCTTTGTCAAGACAATAAAGTAGGCACTATCGTCACTGAAGAACCGACTGTGGTCTTGTTACATTTACAGAACGGACAGCGCGACAGAGCCCACCAAAGGGCAAACTTATTTTTATCGTTCCTAGTACACTTATATGTTTCTCAAAATATGCATTTTATATGAGTGAAACGAAAGTTCTCTGACGTTAATCGTAATCGTATTAGCCATTTTAAAAAATTCCTGTAAATGATTCATGGGATTTCAAATTACCAAATTAAGTACAACTGCGATATTCGTAGAGTTCACTACAGAAATCTCTGCAATCGGTGACGACACAGAGGACGGAGATGACTACACTGACTGCCGTTTCAAAAACATCGACCTCAGCCACGAAAATATTACATGTTTAAGAAAGCACCCAACAAAACAAATTATAAACGCATGGACAACACATTTCAGGTCGTGGGTTCAGCGTTTACAATACGTAGATCGCTAGGGTTTGTATTAGACGTTTTCTGAAAAGCGTTACTACGCTAAGATAACTGTGAATGCGCGGTGTAACCCTTCTCGCCTGTCTCACTCGTGCTTTAACGTAGTCAAATGCAGAGATATCTCACGCGAACTCAATGCGTTTGTTACGCAACGTGACCACTTATTTCCTGGAACAAGTTTCCCTAACTTTTCCCTGAGTTCTAGTGCTTATTTTTTAGACAATTTTCGTATTTTCACACCACTTAACGAAAATATTAAAACTACCGTGATACTAACTGTCAGCTCTCTTATTTTGATGTGATAAAATACAATTAAAAATGTTTTGTAACGCTATGCTAGAGTTTTTTAAAATAATAATTAGTTTTTTTACCATTTCAAAATTTTCCCCGGCTTTTCAGTAAGAATCGGAATGGTATACCCAAGTTGGCGGGTTTAAACCAGATCGACATCCTGGATTTTGAAGAGCGAAAAAACCCTTAGTTCGCCTTCCTTCGGAGGGGAAGTAAAGCCGGCTGTCTCTTGTTAGTAGATTTACCTGCATGTAAAAGATCCTAATGACGCCTCTGAGGTAAATTCAAATCGCCTGTTTCGTCGCCCAAGAAATAGCTCATTTCTTCGCTAGTTGGCGTAGCGAAATTTGCGTGTACAGACGGAAGAGCAGGCCTCATGGCCTGAGTCTTGCCACGTAAAATAAGATATTAATTCAATCCAATAATATATATATATAGGGCTTGATATCTGGGGGACGCAAAAAAAAGCATCCCGTTAGCTGGAGAATAATGATTAAATTTTAATATAAATATTCAACTATTTCTATTGAATTAATCATTTATTTGGGATGCGTTGCAGGTTTTCCGCAAAGTGGTGATCCTGTTCCTCCGCTGGCCGCATGGAAGGCACAGAACCCAGGCGCGTCGCGTTTTCGTCCGAGCTTCCCCCGCGCGACGGACGGCGTTCGGGGAAGTCGGAGGGGGGGGGGGGAAGCGCGGAGATGGAGAGTGACCGCGCGCAGAAGACAAGGCAGACTCTGTTCGGCAAGGCCCCCTCCCCCTCCCCCGGCTCCCAGCGCTCCAATAGAAAGAGGACGGCTAGCGCCCAACTCGCAAACGGACAACACGCCAGCACCGACAGGAAGCGGGAAAATTGACAGCGAGTGCACAGCCTAGTCTCTCTCAAATCAGGAGCGATTTTTTAAAATCGGATAAATGTAAAATAAATACACTACATCGTTTAGGCATTTTTTGAACCGTTTTATCATCCCTTTTAAGAAAACTCGATTTTTTTAAAAAAACTATAACTTCAAGCATTGAAAATCACAAGATTGTGGCAAAAAAATTTACAGCTCTTGCTTTATGACAAACTATATTTTTATCGAGTTTTGAAATAACCCTCCTCAATAGAATGGATTATTTCAGAAACCCGTCAAACGCAAAATTCCATATTTCAGGAAAACTGAGAAAAAGTCTCCCAATTTTCTTCTGATTTCAGAATATTTCTGTTTATTAAAACAGGTGATACATGATTATTCTTCATATAAACATGCACTAAAAGATGTGTCTATCCTCTTGGAGCACTAATTCGCTGCTATACGTGTTTTAGATTTTGGCGTTTGACGGGTTTTGAAATAAACCATTCAATTAAGGGACGTCACCACGTAGGATTTCACCACGTAGCGGAGAATGGAGGTATTTCTTGGGTGATGAAACTGGCGATTTGAATTTAGCTCAGAGGCGTCATTTAGGCTTCTTTTACTTGCAGGTAAATCTACTAACATTGGACAGCCGGCTTTACTTCCCCTCCGAAGGAAAGCGTACGAAGGATTTTTTGGCCCTTAAAAATCCACGGCTTCGATCAGGTTTGAACCCGCCATCTTGAGTACAACAGTCCGATGCGCTAACCGTTACCGCCGGCGACATAATTATTGCAAGACAATGAATTTATTTCTGTAAATTAAATTCATTTTATTTGAAAGAGAGGAATCTCGAGCAATCTGGCAACCCTGTGTTGTGTTGCCGCCTCAGTGTGTACCGTAGGAATGGAAATGGGAACAGAATTTTATATTTCTCGAGATGTGTAGCCGAAAATTGGCTGTTGTCAGAGGGAAGAGGGGGTCTTGATGACCCCCAGAGTCTTGGAAATTAGTTCATAAACTGAACTGACCTCCGAAACTGACCCCGTAACTGACTTGAACTGACCCGAACAGACCCGACTTGGTTGACCCGAACACCGAACTGACCCGAACATGAACCCGAACTGAACCGCAACGAACCGAACCGAGACCGAAACTCGAAACCCGAACGCGAATCCCGAACTTGAACTTGAACTGAACTGAAACTGAACGAACCTTTGAAACTGGAACTGAACTGAACTGAACTGAACTGAACTCCAACGTATATTCGTCCATATACAGACACCTCACTTTGTCTATAGCGACAAGGTTCCTCACTTATCACCAGCTGCAACTTCGGGACGTCCATTCACAACCAAGCTCATCCGGGAGTCGCGGGCGTGATTTGTTCCGCGTTTGGGCGTGCGGCGTTGCGGCGCCCTGGGCGTAAGGCGAAAGCGATCCCTGGCGGCTGCGCCTGCCGGCGCGTAGGCCTTCCATTCCTTCGCCGAGGGCTCCCAGGGCCTCGTCATTAGCACCCGGCGCGGGATGCAACTTTGCTGTGGAGCGGACGCCGGCGGGCCCCGCCCCCCGCCCCTGTCCACGCCCCTTTCTTCCGGACTCGCCAGTCTCCGCCCCGCCCCGCTCCCCGCCCCCGCTCCGCTCCCCGCCCCGCCGCCGCCTCCCTGCCCTGCTCCCCGCCCTGCTCCCCGCCCCGCTCCCCGACTGCTCCCGCTTCCGCTCCCCGCCTCGCTCCCCGCCCCGCTCCCCGCCCTGCTCCCCGCCCCCGCTCCCGCCCTTGCTTCCCCGCCCTGCCCCCGCCCTGATACCTCCGCCCTTAAGCGTCTCCGCCCCACCTCGCTTTATGTCTGCGTCTCCCAACCCAGCCCCGCCCCCGCCTCTCCCAGTCCTTTGATCCGGTCTCCCAGTCTCTGCCCCGCCGTGTCTCTCCGCTCCGCCCTCGCTTTCCTGTGCTCGCCCCCACCCAGCCCCCCTCGCCTTCTCCCAGTCCCTTTGATCTGGACCTGCCTGTCTTCCGCCCCGCCTCGCTGTTCCCCGCTCCCGCAGCGCCCTTCTTCCGCCCCGATCCGGCACCGCCCACACAATTCCCCACTCCGCCCGCCTTTCTTTCCACTCCCCCTTAAACCCTCGGCCTCGCCAGTGTATGCAGAGTGTCCGGCCCCTACCCCGTTCCGCAACACCCATCTCGCCCAGCCCTCACTCCTTCACCATTTCTGGCCGCGCCTCCCACCACCCGCGCCGCCCCCTCTCATCGCGAAGCCACCCCGCCCTCTTTCGTGCTCGTCCCCGTTGCGTCTCGCCCTCTCTTCGCGCCCGCACCCCACTCCTCTTCCGCCCTCATCGCCTGTTTTGCACTTCCTCGCCGTCCACCTTAACCCTGTCCGCCCCACCTCGCGTTTTTCTCCGCTCTACCTCGCCCTTCCAAACCCTTCAATTCGGAACTCGCCTGTCTCTGCCCCGCCAGTGCTCCCCAGCACTACATTTACGGACTAAATACCATAGTAGTATATGCGACCCGGCATTTCACTAACAATCATTCCAATTAAACTATCGCACCTCTCTCCTCCCACGCACTATTTAATCGCCCCGCATCGGCCTTTCTCATCTTCGCCCCGCCCCTCAAACTCCCACGTCCCGCCTTCTCTCTTCCGTGCTCCCTGCCGGCCCCGCTCTGCTCCTCCTCCCACTTCCTCCCGCTCCATCTCGCTGTCCTCAATTTCCTCTCACAGGAGGAGATGGCTCAGTGGTATCAAGTGATGTCAATGCATTCCCTCTGACTGCGGAAAATCCTAGTGGATTCCACTCCTGCACGGGTGGCAGGACAGGCCGACTGTAGGTGGGCCCGGATCTCGCCGTTCAGCGCAATATGACCTCCGCCACGCACCCGAGGGCAAAAAACAGCACACACTTACGGGAATAATGACCCTGGGATACACGATCTTGGTTGTCCGGGGTAACGCCGCGTCGAAGGCTGGTGTCGAACACAGCCTTCGACGCGGCCTCGTCACCCCGGACAGCCCCAAGATCACGCCACATGGACTCTGGCCGCGGAAAGCCTACATCTTCATCTAATGGAGACCCTAGTAGTTGCATGCGCCCGGAATCACTACAATTCATTCAATTAAAATCAATCCATCTTTTTTTTATTTATTTATTTGATTGTTTAGTTAATAGTTCCAGTTTAATAACTCTTACATATGTATTGATGACTTATAATTTAACTTAGCTAAACTTATCCCTAAACTTAATACTATTACCCAGAGGTTGAGGAAACCCTAAGGGCACCTCATAAGAAAAACGTATTCCAGCAGATTCCTGAGAACAATTTACCAAAATATATGGGAATGGGTATTTTATTTTGATACGAGTGGGAATGGATGGGGTTTTTGCCACAAGATTGAATGAAGATAAAGGTTTGGATATGGTGTTGTATTTGAGAAGAAATTGTGTGGGATAGTGTGATGTGTGCATGATGGGATCCCCGAGGTTGAATTCATTATGTAATTGATGATTTAGATATGAACAAGGGTGATTAGTGATTGTACCGGAGGAATTGGTCGTTATTATTTGAATTTTGTTGTATCGTTTTGTTTTTGCAGCATTGATCCATTACTGGGCAGGCCGTAAGAAGAGTAGGTCTGATTATTGTTTTGAATAAAGTTATGCTGCTGTTTTTGTATGGGAGGTAATTTTTCCTGTTTTATTAGAGTTTTTTTAATTTGATGCAATATGTTTTTGCGTTTGTATTATTTGATGGTACTATGTGCTGTTTCCAGTTCAATTTTGAGTAGTCATGTGCAGATCCAAGATATTTTATGGCGTTTATTTGGAGGGATACCATGGGATGGGCTCATTATTTTAAAGTCGAGTGGGGAACGAGAGCGGTTGGTGAAGTGTTATGGTTGGGCTGTAAAGAAGAATTGTGATTAATTGTTAGCGCGGTGCCCGAGCGAGTGTTTGATGTTCCCCCGATACCGGGCACCGAAGTTGGGCCTTTTCCCAATGGGGTGGTTATTTAAAAATTAATTTTGGTGTGGGATGATGAAGAAGAGAGGGAAGGAAATGTTGACCAACTGTTTCTATTTGGTTGTATCCACCGGACTACAGTTCCAGACCAGTGCCTGTTATGTAATGAGTAGCTCTTTTTAATACTGAATGTAAAAGAGAGAACAACGCAGTGGTAACTGCGAGGAGCCAAGCAAAATAAACGAGAACAAGAAGGTGTGCCCTCCACTCCTGCAAATTAGTTGCGCGGAATTTTTTACTGTTCTTCATTCAATATGGGGATGTCTGCTACATAGAAGATTAAACCACGTAACTCGTTTGTGCGAGGCCTGATAGGGGGGAACCTTTGAACGGCCGGACGAAGGTGGTGCAATCCAGCGCCTGCTGTGAGAGTTAATCGGCGGCACATCGCTGCGGGTCTTCGAGCCCTTGATAAATTGGTTGCATTATGTTGAACTGCAATTAAGGGTTCTGTAGTGGTCATGAAATAGCTTTGAGGTGGCCGCCGAGCACGTAGACTGGAACGCGTCGAGAGTGGGCCGAGGTGCAGGGCCCAGAGAAGGGCAAAGTAGCGACCATGAATGGCTAGGCGAGTGAACATGGGTACCTACCCAGTGTGGTGTTAAATTTTAAATTTAAGTAAAATTAGTGCCTGGAAAAAGAGGTGCCAGGGGCCTGCCAGGGAACACGGGAACTCTATCAAATGCGACCCTGCTCGTAGCGCTAAGCTTGTCGAGACCGCGTAGAGCTACCATGAAGAGGTGATCCGTAAAAAATGGGAATAGTTTTTTCTGCAGGCCAGCATTGCAGTGATGGATAGCGGAAGGCAATCCATGATGATCTTAGTGTTCTACAGGAGTTGAATGGTTGCGCTCCAGCGAGATCGAGTAATATGATCCGTCTCCTGTGCGATCAACAAGTAACGTGAGCTGCTCAATGTGGGAAGAATAGAACTGTGAAGTTGAATCGTGTTGACTAGGGTGCTTTTAAGACGTTGAGTATTACTTTTTCAGGCGGCAGAGAATAAAAAAGATTCTCGAAGAGAGTTCAGCTTAGACATAAACAGTACCGAAGGTAAGTGCACAAAACGCTCGTAGATCGGACGCAGGCGAGAAGAATAGGGCATGTTGAGCGTGCGGAAGATAAATGTTGGCGGAGAACAGCGGTGGCTCCTGACAATGAGGGGCGCTGCACGGAGGGCACCGGGAAAAGATCTATACATATAATACCATTAGGCTCTGTTGTGGCGAAGCAAGCGAGTAAAAGCGTGCATTGCAATGGCATTCTGGACTGTCTCCATTACGATGGATGAGCGAAATAGCCAATGATCTCTGATTCTGCTAAAGGCCCCGAGGAAGCCCGCATCAGAATGTGCTAATATATTGCTGGTAAGCATGACAAGTTCCAGAGGCTGGTAAATGTTTTAGTTATTGAATTAATTGATCACTCTGATTCCACTCACCTCCAGGACTCGCTATCCTGCTTGTTCTGGCCGCCCGGAGGCCC